GAGATAATTATAAGCCATAAAAACAGCTTTCATATGCATACACAATTCTTTCCCCACATCTAGCAGAAATGAAACCTATCTGCAGACTAGCCCATCCAGAGCTACACTGCTTGCAGTCGATGAGCCCAAAGCCACAGCTGATAACACAAGCCAGAAGCAGGCAGCTGCCCGGCTCTGCCAGGCAGGCAGGGCCTGATCTGGATCATCCCTACTACCTGCAGCCTGTGAGGGCTGCACAGATGCAGCAAGCATCGCAATGGGAGCAGGCTGGCGGCTCTCCTTCAACTCAGGCCACCTCTGTCACTGCCCCTGTGGGCCAACCCTGGGCGGTGGGTCAATCGTCTGCATTTGAGGTACGTTGAGGTCCCTTTTGGGAACTCCATCTTTCCCCATCAAGAGACAGCAGAGCTTTGCGTTAGTCTCAGCGCCTTTAAACGAGAATCCAAACCTGAGCAAAAGAGTCACGGTGAGATTCGCAGCTCAGACCACAAAACGAAGGTTCTCACCATCTATACTCCCAAAACTCAAGGTTTGTCTTACGCTGACCAACAGCCCCTCAACAGCCACATGGCCTTTAGAGAACAATCTCCTGCCTCAGATTCGGACAGCCCTTATCTGAGCAGATTTCTACAGTCATTACCCAGCAAATATGATTTGCTAAGCAACACCCTCTCCCAATTAAACCCAGAGCAGCGCTCGTTGCTACGTGGAGCTGCAGCTCTGCAGCAATGGCTGCTGGTATCGCTGTGCTTTGCAGAGTGGATGGAGACACCTTGAATGCAGAAAAACTACAGAGACCAGGTTCTGCTTCCAGCCACGACGCAAATGGAGGGTGGCTGCTGCCAGAGATAACTCCGGCACAAGCCCCTCTCCTGGAACACCAGCCTGTGTTTGCATCTACAGCGGCTGATACCGAGGAGACTGCAGATTAAGGTGCAGATTTTAGCCTCGTGCCTGTCCTAACCAACGGTGTGGATGCGAGCGAAGCAGAAAGCAGGGCTAGAAGCCAAGCAGAGAGCTGCAGAGGGGGAGTTTGGCCTTCCTCGCACACAGATCATTAACCATTAGCTGGTCCAGGCGAAGGATGCTGCACCGAGACCTTCTCCTGACCCTTTTCCCAGACATTCCTACTTTCACCACCCGATCTTGGACACAAGGATGAAACCCACCCTTCCCC